GAACTGCGAATGCTGTAATGCAGGATCAAAAACAGAAGTTACTGTAAAAGCACAGCAGGTCTGGCAGCATCTGTGAAGAAAAAAACCAGAGTTGACGTGATCCAGTGATCCTTTCTCAGAACATTAACTCTGATTTTTTTTTTCTTCACAGATGCTGCCAGACCCGCTGAGCTTTTCCAGCAACTTCTGTCTCTGCAGTCCTTACTTGGTTTTGTTACTTGGCAGGTATCTTGAGAAAGGTGAGGGCTAATTGGCTGCTTACAATGTGGTCTCCTGTACTTTGGAGAAACAAAGCATAGACTGGATAACCGCTTCACAGAACAGTTACGTTCTGCTCTCAAAAAAGACCCTGAGCTTCCTGTTATGAGGAAGGGTCACCGAACCTGAAACGCTAACTCTGTTTTTTCCTTCACAGATGCTGCCAGACCTGCTGAACTTTTCCAGCAATTTTGCTTTTGTTCCTGAGCTTCCAGTTGCCTGTCACTTTAACACATTACCCTATTCCATGGCCAACATCACTGTTTCAGGCCTGCTGTAGTGTTCCAGTGAAGCTCAGTGCAAGTTGGAAGAACAACATCTCATTTTCGGCTTGGGGACCCTGCAGCCCTCCAGACTCGATATCGAATTCAATAATTTTAAGGCCTAAACTCTACCATGTCCCAGCGCCCTACTCCACACACACAGCCTGCCATTACACACTACCTATTGTTAGTCACTAACAATCCCCGTTAACAACTACTCACCCTCCTAGCCAGACTGTTATCAACTCCTCAGTCTATCCAACTGCTCTTTTCTCTCTTCAGGCTCTATCCTATCGTTTACTCCCTAACCCACCCCCCTCCCTATCTTCTGCGTATAAGCCGACGTTTTCTCAGCTACATTCAGTTCTGAGGAAGGGTCACTGGACCCGAAATGTTAAATTTTTTTCTTCTCAGATGCTGTCAGACCTGCTGAGCTTTTCCAGCAACTTCTGTTTTTGTTCCTAATTTACAGCATCTGCAGTTCTTTTGGTTATTATCGTGTTGCTCGCTAATTGCTATTTGATTTCGGCTGTGATGCTACCCGCACAAGTTTTGGAAGGCAGTGGGAGTACTAGGGATTAATCAACTAATCAATTAAGAAGTCTATATATGTAACATTTCCCCTGTGTGTACACTTATTCAGTTTGAAATTACTGAGGTATAGATTTCACCCACATTGATTAGATCACACAACCTTTCCCATAACCATCTTTTCCCATAACCACCATCTTATCCAAATTTATCCATTTTTTTTCAACTGCCAGTGGGATATAATGAGAACCAAAATAATAATGCTGTCTCATCACAAATGATCATTTTTGGTGTGTAATTCCCAAAAGTGGTGTTCAGTTATGTTATATGTAAACACTGTAGACTAGGAAACTAATGTGTTTTAAATTACTGTTATTTTAATCTTTGATGTCAGTTTTTAGTGGTCTTTGAATAACTTGTTTCAATTCCATTATTGATCTACTGTGGTAACTGCTTCAACAATTTCCTGATGTTTGTGTAAGTACCTTTAGCATTTAGAAATTATGGTGGTTTTTAGCCAGGTTCAGTACAGTTGAATAACTGATTTTGTCTTGTGGGAAATATCTGGTGTAACGATACATAATCTTAATTTAACAAATTTTTCCAGTGAGCAACATGTTTAGAGGTTTTATATATCAAAATAATAATTTTGGAGACTGAAGAATGTTGGAAAAGACTTCCATTGAACTACAGTACAACATATGACTTAACCTCATAAAACTAAGTTGCAGAAAGCCTGACGTGGTGTAAAATCTAGAAGCTTCATTCATAATCATTAAATATATTGAACAGAGTAGGGAAACAACAGGTATCTTTCACTGTTTAATCAACTGACCATATTCTGTCCCAATCTACACCACTTCACTTGGTTTCCTCATCTATAATCTGTTGTTGAACTCGACCGGCAAGCTGTCTGAGCTCAGAAAATCTGCTGTTGATGTTTGGTTGGTTTTTTTTGTGTGGTGTACTCTGAGTTGGTTCATGTTGCACTGTTGTAACAGTCACAAATGACCTTAAATCACCTGTGGTTGACTTGCAGAGGCTCTGTTACTATACATGTCAGTGTAATAACTAATGGTTCTGATTTTGCAGTAACAATAATAATGACACTACCTGGGCTTGCTGTTTGTAAAGAGCAAGGAGTAGTTTACAGAAATTGTATTTGTCCAGTTGCAGAAATTGAGCAGATTCTGTACAAGCTGCACTATCCCTCCAAAAGATGCATGTATTTAACTTCCGTCCCTCTCGTCTCTCTTCTTGGTCTTTTCTCTTTTCTAACTTTATTCTTTTTTTCCTTCATTTCACTTTCTGTACATGATTTGATATTGATTTGCCATTCTGACATATACTTTCTAGTTTTAACTCAGCAGCAGGAATTGTATCAAAAAATAGTGTGTTTTGTCACTGAGCAGGACCAAGCCTGCATGGATTGCCATCAAGATCCTGGGTAGCACGTTACCAGCAGCAGACAGCTCTGGTCAAGGAGAAACAAACAAAAGCAAATTGATGGAGAAACTCAGCACGTCTTGCAGCATCTGTGAAGAGAGAACAGAGTTAATGTATCCAGTGACCTTTCTTCTGATTGGTCATGGAGAAACACTTGTTTGCTCTGCAGACAATGCTGCACCACATTAATTTCAAATATCTAGTCCCCATAGTTTCCAAAAAATTAGAAGTAAAAGCAATGATCCAGTGCAAAATACTGCAGATGCTGGAGCATTAGGAATGTAACTTAAGACCTGTAACAGCTAATTCATGCACAGTAAACTCTGTCAGACAGTAATATACAGGTCGTTCTCCAATAATGTGATAGTTGCATTCTTGTGTGACCTCCCGCTATAGGAAATCACTATACCTGTACAGCATGAAGTTCAAGTTATCCGAACAGTGTCCACTATTCAAAAATCGCACTACAGTCAATTTGCATTAACAAAACATGTGTTTTAGCAGAACTTACCTGTATTTATAACAAGACAAGTTGTTTTTGTGGTTTTGACACCAGAGGTAACCCTGCCTGTTCCTCTTCGAAATAGTCTTGTGATCCCTCTTTCATCTTAGACAACACATGGAGCATTTAACATTTGAAGGATCAGATCTCCAACAGTATCACATTCCCTGTGTACTACTTTGGAGCGTGTGACTGGATTTTGTCCTGGAGTGGACTTGTTCTCACAATCCTATGTTTTGGAAATGTGCACCAAATAAACCACAGCTGGCACTGAGAAAATCCGTTGTCTGATGTATGGTTGTGATTGACTAGCAACTCTTGTTTACCACTGACTGTAAAATCCAGATCAGTATTAACCTATCCCAATTCATGGGCAGCCCTATGAGGAATAGGTTAATCTTGATTAAAAACAAATCATCCTTTTCAAGGGGCAGAAGTTTATGGCACGTGGATACCAAATCTTCTGAAAAATTTGCTGTCTGAAGTGGAAGAGGTTTTATGATATATTTATGAAAGATGGCCTTGTTGATGTGTCGTGTGAACCCATTTTCTTTGAAAATCAGTTTAAAAGAGCTGTGTGTGGGAAACTGAATTTCATAATTTAGAAAAACTTCAATTAATGTAAATTCATTCTGGGGTAAAGAGATTATCCATTTTATTTTAGCTAGAACTAACCAAGATGAGAAAGCTAATTTCATGTTACACAACTTGGACTGATTTGCAATGCACATTGATGCCAACAGCTTGGGTTCAATTCCTGCAGCTGCTGAGATTACCATGGAGGACTTTCCTTCTCAAACTCTCCCCTTACCAGATGACTTTACCTCTTTAATCAAAATCTTGATTAGAGAAAGCAAATCTTAACAGTCTTGAGTATCATAGTTTGTTGGCATTTCCCAAAAGAAATCTCGTATGATCCATTTGACACTGTCTGTCAATCTTCGTTTCATGGTTGCTTAACTTGTAAATCTTTGAGCCCTGAAAAGTTGCCTGACATTGAGGCACCTTTAAAGATTCTGCAAAGTTTAGTTTGTTAAACTTTGTCAAACTGATCTATTTCATTCAAAGGAAGTAAATGATCACCTTGCTATTGTAGAAATGTTGCATTGACCTGACTAAACGAGTCTAAAATAAAGCTGCCAGTAATTTTTAATGCATAGATTTTTGTAAATATTGTAACATGCAAGATTTAATTTCAGTCAGATCTGTCTGATTGTTTATCAGAAATAAGCTTGTCTCTAAATATGTTATTTGTGCAAGATTGAAAGAGAGGTACATTTGATGGTGTGGTTTGCTACTGTTGCTGCTTCTGCTTGCCCTGCAAGAAAAAATTAATGCCGTTCTTTTAGATATCTGATTTTTCTACTTGGTTCTGAAGAATGGCTTTGCAAGAACTTTTCTGCTGAAAGGTTCTAAAGGTTCTGCCAAATGCTGTCTTTTTTTAATCACATACTGGTTTTAAGTTAGATTGCAGAAGAAGTTTTTCTTTCCTGTAGTGTAAGTTGAGATGCCCGGAGCAAAAGGCTGTGGAAGGTTGTGTCTGAGTAAAAAAGCAATGCTTAGCACAAGTGGGGCTTGTGTCAGCAGTCCAGTTCTTGCAAACCATAACGTAAGAGCCCTTAAATAGATGCCGTCATCAGCTCTGGCCTCCAACATGTGGTCTATTACAACATGTGATAGAAAATGGCGGAGGAATTGAAATAGCTATTCATGTGGTAGGAGTGGTCTCTGTATTAGGTTTTAGTTTATGTTGACAAGGCAGTGTGTTCCTAGTTAGTTCATTGCAGCTGTTTCTTCTCTCTCTCTCTCTCTCTCTCTCTCTCTCTCTCTCTCTCTCTCT